CACATGGTCCAGGGGAAGTGGGGACACTTTAATTAGAGTGGCTCCGAGAGCTGCCCTAATTAAAGCACCCGCAGCATCTTGCGATTCAGCATTCCCAAGCTTCAAAATGGTGGCAGGCCATTTTGAAACTTGGGGATGCTGATTCACAAGATGCTGTGGGTGCTTTAATTAGAGCTTCTCTCAGAGCCACTCTAATTGAAGTGCAGCGTGCTTTAACTAAAGCTTGTAGAATGAACTTTAGTTAAAGCACCCCAACCACTGATGCATGAGATGCAGAGGCTGCTAGAGTGTGCCAATTAGCATGCAACAGCAGACTCGATTAATCAAGACTGCTGAAGTCTCACTGTTATTACAGCATGTCGGAACAGTCTCCCCTCATGTCTACAGGCACCTTGAGATTTGTCGATTTTGATTTTGGCATCCTTTACTTCATTTTGGATTGCTGCCTGGCAGTTCTTCCTCAAAATATTTATGAGACAAAACTGTGTTTCTAGGTTGCCCTAAACTGATAATTCACAACCATATGGTTTACCACAACAAAGACAATACAGTTCTCTTCTCCATCTACAGAGGATGTTGCACTGCATGTTACTCTTGTTTCACGTAAGATTCACACCTGTGTATTTTCATGATGCCCACCTACCTAGGGTCTTGGTTCATTAAAGCATCAAGGACTGGTGATTTATTACTGAACACACTAGCAGGGCAATCAGTGTACACTGTCACAAGATTCTTATTGTAACTTTGAGTATGCCCTCTAACCCAGCTACACTCATCCTTGTAAAATAAGGACAATGCTAGGACAATGAGGACCTCACAGGCTGACACAAGGTCTTACTTATTTAGAATTCCTGAATTACTTTTCAGGTCTGAATGGGAGGAATGGCTAGCACCTGGAGATTAAGCTTAATTAGAAATTAGAAAAATGTGTGTGCAAGGCAGGAACTAGAAGAGAGAGGGAACAGTAGAGAGGAACACCTTGTCAGTTATTGTTACTGTTATATCAGCTGTAGTTAGGCTATGCCATCTGGCCAAAGAACACAGTTGCATTTGTATGCCAGCAACATACTACATGGATAAAAGGTTGATGTCTAGATCCAAGAACCTGTTCCACACCACAGCATTCCCGCTAAGCTGTGCAGCATGCGTGGCCGCACAGGTACACTCACGCCACGCTGTCAGGTGCACCCGCATAGCTGTGCACACCGCGCAACTTAGAGGGAATGCTGCACACCATAAAGATCCTTTGGAAGAGCCCCTAGCATGCTGCCTGGTGGAACTGGAAGTGGACCAGAAGTGCTTCTGGTCCACTTCTAGGTCTGCTGCCGAGCGAGTGGGGGAGCCCACCCCGCTTCTGCATGACACTTAATTTGCCCCAGCATCACAGCATTCATGAGCCCCTGCTACGTAGAGGTATGTAGAAAAAAAACATTTAAAGCGGTCTCTATGTCCAAATATCTGAATCTTTTTAAATCGATTTTAAGGGTTCCAATTCAATTCAGAGAGATTATAGGGTCTTCTGATTTGATATGGATTTGGAGATTCGGCCACCAAATCGGGCTAAATTTCCACTGAATCGAATCAGGGATCAAAGCTGCACACAGCCATACTGCTCACTGAATCTTCTGCCTCAAAGAGAAAATGATTTGCAGCAGTTGCAGCTACACCAATTTGAGAACTCCAACCAGGGGTGGATATGTCACTAGAAAAGATAAGGGGATATAATTTGCAGCAGTTTGGGTTCAACTTGCGCTGCCATATTTATCTGAAGCTGCCAGTTTTGTATCGTTGTAACCAACAGGGATTTTCTGAGTAGACGCTTATTTGCTGTAAGACACTGATTTAATCAGTAGTGACAGATTCACTTAGAGCCA